ATGAGATGTCAGGACTGTTCTGGTTGGAAAAAAAATCATCTTGGGTGTTTACAGAAAGAGGATTACATTAAGCTGAAATGACTATACATTTTCCAGTTTAATATTTGTCCATCAGCTGTTTAATCGTATTTAGATAATTGTGTAAATAAGATGTGCTAGCCCTTGCCCTGTCTGCTGAAGGAACCGGCAAGCTTTCAACATGGGTGAGCCACCATTTTGTAGAAGCTGCATCTGTCTCTTCCCATCTCATTTAGCCTAGACCCAAGTCCCAAGCAAGTTAGGATCCTGACATCAGCAGTCCTGTTTAAAAAGCCAGGAGACCTGCAGAAGCACAAGGCCATCTTGGGGACCTCAGAAGCACCAGGGAGCTGCTAGCTGTCTGGCTCCCAAGAGCTTTGTCACATGCAAAAGCCAAGGAGCCGCCTACCCCTGCAAAACAGGCCTGGCCTCCTCCTTCCTTTCCCCAGCTTGCCCTGTTTCTAGGTATTTTGGAAAACTTTTGGAATAGTGGGGGTTAACTGGTTTTTTTTTGACTGGAAGCTGAGCAATCAGAGATAACAGATTTTGCTGTGGTTGGTTGATTTGGCAGAAAAGCATGAACAGTTTTGGTTTAAATGATTGAATAACCTGATTAGCATTGTTTTGGGGTGTTTTTTTTCTTTGAGGGGGGTTGTTAAAGGCACAACAAAGCAGTTTTAAGGGTAATCAGATTGCAGCCCCTTCCCGGTTGATAATCTTGTCCTTGAGAAGGCTGCCCTTTTCCCAAACAAGTCCCCTTGGCCACTAAGATGGCCAAGGGGAACAATCAGGCCACCTTCCCTCATTTTCCAGTCCACTATAGATATACACCACAGTGTGTGTGACTCCCTAGCAGGGATTTGGAAGATAACATTTGGGAAAATTATGTAACTTCAACCGGTTCCTTGTGTTTTCTGTTTTTCACATTGAGAGACCTGCAGATTTTCGAGCAAAGGTTCAGAATGTTCCAACAATATGTAAGTCAGGCTTTAGAAAAATTCCACCCTTACCTTTTCACAATTAGAAAGGTTATAAATAATGTATTTGGCTGAAAAGGAGGCTCAGCCCGTGGCAGATGGTATCCTTCTAGAGGGCTGGGGTTTCTGGGAAGATGGCATCCTTACAGATCGGAACTTTAGCAGACTCGGAAAGAGCCAAGCTCCTCATAGGGAGTAGACATGTGCTCTGTGGATCTTAGGAAAGCTTACAACTTGGCTCCTAGGATGAGAATATCGTGTCACACAGGGGTTAGGAGACCCACAGCCAATTTCTGCCAACTTTTAAATTGTGTCTCCCCACACTGGGGTCCTCGGCCTGTGTTTTGGTTGGTGTGCCCTGCAGCGACATTTGAACTCGGAGTTTCTAGCATCAGAATTTAGTCAGTTGGATTAATTGACTCCCCGAATGTTGATGTTTTTACAGTACTGGCCACTGACTGACTAGAAAACTTGCCACAGAAATTGTGTATTTGAAAGTGCTCATATAAGTCCATTCCGAGGGAGCAGAGCAGCAACCACCCCAGCCTCTTTGGAGACATCTGTGGGTTGCTTTGAAAAACCTGGAGAGGGATCTCTTGCAAATTATTGAAGAAAGGCGCTTGTAGCTGAGAGATTGGGCTTTGGAAGTTCACTTGGCAAAAATGCTGTTGCCTTTGATGATGGAGGGCAAAAGGAGGAGGATGTTCCAGTGACCCAAAGAAGTGGCTTATTTCTTTGGCCTTCTCCCATCCCTACTGTGTTCAGCCTTGTGCTGAGCATCCAGGCTGTTGTGAGATAAGTCTAGAAGATGCTCAGTGAAGGAAGTGCTAGTTGCCTTGGCCCAGCCTGCTTTGATTCAGGAAGGTGGGAAGGCCTGGCAGATTTGGAGCCATAGAGCCTGAGGGAGAATGGAGGAGCCACGGGACTGTGTCCGGGGTGAAGGGTTGAGTCTGTCTTCCTGACACTTGCTATGAAATGCATCTCAGCTTCACTGAGCTGAGAGGTTGAACAAAAACAGAAACTGTTTGCCCTTGTCCCTTGACTTGCTACCACATTTAATTCACTTCACTGAGCTGAGAGGTTGAACAAAAACAGAAACTGTTTGCCCGTGTCCCTTGACTTGCTACCACATTTAATTCGTGCAGCCTTCACTTTCCTGTGGACCATTTCTGTGGGGATAGGTGTCTCAGGTGGTGATGTGCATGGTGCACATGCATGAAGACTTGACATGGATTCCCAGCACATACATAAAGAGCCTGACCTAGCAGCTTGTGATTCCAGTACTAAGAGGAGGAACAGGAGAACCCCTGTGGCTAACTGGCCAGCTAGTCAGCTGAATCCTTGAGCTCTGGATTTAGTGAGAGACTCTGAAAATATGCTGGCGAGATTAGGAAAGAAATCTGGTGTCCACACACCCACATCTGCACAGAGACATCATTTTGAAAATTGTATCTGTTATTTAAAGCATCCTAATTCTTTGGTGTTTGTATGTGTGTGTACACACATGGTTGTGTATCAGGGTGTGTGAGGAGTTCAGGACAATGTCTGGGAGTCAGTTCTCTACTGTCTCAGACCCAGCAGGCACTTTGCTGCTCTGTCATCGCAATGGCCCCACTGAAAGCGTCTTTGACAGATCTGCATTACCAATAATAAAAGCCCAGTGATGGAGTAAGGAAGTGAAGGGGGAACAGAGGGTCCTCTGCCAAACGGTAGAATCACCTTAGGACTCGGACGCACACTAGAAATTAGGGCTAAGCGGGGGCAGTGGAAGCCTTGATGATGGGCACATATGGGTGCTATTCTCCACATATGGATGGTAATGAACTGCATAGCACTTTTGCATATGAGCTTGAACTTTATTAAAGTATTTCAGAATGTATTTCCTCACACTGTGCATTCTCCCTTTTCCCCCACCATTGCTGCAGATAGTCACATTGTATTGGAACGATCTAGTACATCACCTACTTCTTAATAGGCCACAAACTTAGTAGACAGAGGCTATGTTTCTCCCCTCCTTGTGTCCTTCATAACAGCCAGTACAGCAAAAAACAAATGTAATATATAGAACTAAGGGGACAAAGTGGGCTGGGTACTTATTGAAAACCTCTACAGAATTTAGGAAGCCTGTATATTTATTTCTAAATATGCGACCTTCCATGCTGTGCTCTGTTAACATAGGAAAGTGTCAGATTGTCTAGGTAAAAATTAGTATTTGTTTAGAAGTTGGGCCAGAGTAGAAGACCACGAGCTGACATCCATGTGCAGAATCATTGTTATCTATCAGTGATCTCAGTCATTTTATTAGACTCTAACATTATTGATCCATTATTACGGGAGAGGAAGTGAGATGGGAGCCGGCAGATTGCTAACTGTCAGGTAGTCATCCTCTGGCTCTGGGTTTGGCAACTTACTAAGTGTCTTTTTGCACTGTGGACTGGGGGAGGCTCTTAGTGAAATTGCAAGCTATTGGATTAATGGCAGGGCTTCACAAGCACATTAAGAATGTCTTTTTAGAGAAATAAAATGTAAAAGTGACAATAAAGTAGAAAGTGTGGGGAGAAAAAGCTATCATGGTGCCTCATTGGAGAGACAGCTGTATTTTGCATAAATAATGCAACTCCAGCCTGTGCATTGCTCCCACTTCTTTAGAGGACCCCCAAACTTACACATTACAGAAAGTTAACGCGATGATGGATGTCAGAGTTAATAATAGCCCAAAGAGCTTTACATTAGAAGTAGCTTAGAGAAGATAATGATATGAAACTGTCCCCAAACTGGCTTTTCTGGTTATTCGTTGCCTCCCAACAATGGAGCCTTCTGTAAGCTGTTTCTCTGTAGGCCAACCAGGTCTGAAATTTAAGCTCTTAGGTTTCTACTCTCAGGACCAGGAGGCTTGGTGCTTCAGTCTCACTCTTAAGACTCAACAGAGAGTTAGTTTAGCTACTAGAAACTGGGTGAACCAGGAATTAAGTGACAGCAATTACGGTAACCAAAATTATCTGGGAAAATAGGCTTTTGTTTTTTCGGAAATGTGGTTGTGTATTTTTTTACTTTAAACCTTAGTGATACGTTAACATCATTGTCTCCATTTTTATTTATTAGAAGGCTGACTCTTGTCCGTGCCTTTTTGTTTGAGTCAGTGTCTCACTGTGTGGTGTGAGCTGGACTGAAACTTACAAGTTCAGGTTGGGCAAGGACTCACAGAGATCTGCCTGCCCCACCTCCCAGGTACTGGGTTAGGGGCAGACATCACCATGCCCAGCTCTTCAAGGTCTTTTTTTAAAGAGAAAAATGGCAAAGAGACATTTCTTTCTTTTTCTTTCTCTCTTCTTTTTGTGAATAGGGCTCTTAAAATGTTAATTAGCACGAAATGTATATATTTAAACTTTTTTCTGGTCATTTAAAATTCACAGTTCAAGCTTTACTAGATAAAGCCAGCAATCAAGTCTGAAGATGCTCGTCTTCTGAGAAAGGTTCTTGAGATAGTTTTCCTCTTACGCGTGACCTCTGAGCACTGTTAGCTCACCAGCAGCTGAGATCCATACAGTGAACATGAAAATAAAAAATGATTTCTTCTGCTTGGTCATGCCTGACTGTGCTGGGGGTGTTGGTGAGAGGCAGGTGTTGCTGAGGCCGTCAGAGCTCAGGCCCTGGCCTATGTTTCAGACGAGCTTCCAGCTTCCAACTGGTGTCCGTGGCTCATAAACATGTCAGGTTCAGTCACCGCGCTACAAAATACCCTACCTTAATAAATTTCAGTCCTGGTATCATCTGACTTGGGAACGGATGGTGTGGATGAAGGATGGGTAAAGAGTGCTGGTATGTAGGCTACTGCTTGCTTCTTAAATAAGCGTTTGATGATGTACTTAATGGAACCTAAGAACCTGAAGCTTTGGTCCCAGTTGGTTTAGAAAGAATGAAAGCAGGTACAACTTCCCACAGCTGAGGTTGTGGTACCCACCTTGTGCCATGCTGTATTATACATGTTCTTCCCTTTCCACACAGAGCATGATCTCCTCCATTGTGAACAGCACGTACTATGCAAATGTCTCGGCAGCAAAATGTCAAGAATTTGGAAGGTGGTACAAACATTTCAAGAAGACAAAGGATATGATGGGTAAGCAAAAAAAAAAAAAAAAAGAAAAAAGAAAAAGAAAAGGCAAAAGCCCACCCCCTTGCCGTGGCAGCATACCATTGCATGTCATTTGGGGGTTTATCAAAGTCACATCGAAAGCCAGATCTTTTGATTGCCCAATTAGAGATCAATTTAGGATGTTTCTTTGGGGGTGGGGGAGTGGGTATGAGTATAATGAGATAATTAAATTCAATAAATGTTTGTGTTTAAATCAGCCACACTGACTCGGTTGTCAGACATGCAGGAAATAGAGGCGTGAGGAGGAGAGCTGTCATTTTGTAACATCTCAGTGAAGCCCTAACCAGGCCTTGAATAACTAATATCAGCTGTGATTTCTCACAGAGATAATCATGCTTTAAGGATTTTTGCTTTTGTTTGCAAAAAGGAGAAAGGGGCTGTTTTCACGCCAACTTTTAAACAGGATTCAACTGTCTTTGACTCACCAAACACTCTTTGGTTTTCACCATTGAGCTGGAGTGGTTTTTATGGCTCCAGACCCCACAGGTAGGCACTTTCAGTTCCAGCATAGCGCCCTCTCTGAGCGTGCATCAAGCTGAGGGGGTGGAAAACAACTGGTCACAGTTGCACACTGTGGCCGATGTGGCCGAGCGGTGGGAGACTGGCGCTTTCTCTTCGTGAATCAGTTAGTGCTCATGGGAGCAACCACCGTGGTTAAGGTGGATGTACCTTCTTTCACATACTGTACCTTCCAAATACATACTACGTCTTGAAAGGAAACAGGAATGGAGTGTTTCGTACACAAAGCCATATGCCCTGTTGTAAATCTTTGTTTATCACCATTCTGTTCATTTAATAGTAACAACAGTAATAACTTTTCCTAAAGACTCAGAGACAAGAAACCCGAATTTTGAGCATGTTTTAGCTTTTAATATTTGAAGAAAGACCATCCATCTACCAAAACAGATTCTTTGCTTTTATAGCTTAGGGCTGTAATGAAGACAATGCATCAAGTTGGGAATAATTGCTTGAATTACTGTTCCGTGGGAATGGCCCACTTGGGCTGATATCATTGGTAGAAACTCAAGGTTTCTTCCCCTTCTTAGTTAGAGTCTGCACATATCATGGGGTATAGGAATATGACCAGTCCCTCTGATTTTAAAATCTGCATTTTTAGTGAAAAGAGAAATGGTGACTAAAATCCAAGTCGAGCCTGTCCATGAGAGGTGTGGACGGTTGAAAAGGCTTACCTGTTTCTGTCACACAGTTCCCTCTAGTCCCTCCTGTGCAGCAATGCAGCATTTGACACACTTAGAGCTGACTCTCAGCCAGTCCACACAAGTGTTCTAGCCAAGGGAGAAACATTCATTCTGGGTAGGTGGAAATAAATTGCAGAATTGTGACGACCTCACCATTGTCCTAGGACAGCTCTCTGCCTCATCCTTAGCAGTTGGTGAGAACCACACTTGTATTAAAAGCATTGGAGCCTTAGCCACACTGGGTATGCTGGCTTGCTCTGCTCTACGTCTTTGCTTTATCCTGAGAAATATTTGCTGAAATTCTTATGCGTCCATGATTGGACCTAAATGAAACAAAGCCCAGTGATGCCAAGAGTGACAGCCAGCTGTTATGCCCACCTTTGTTCTGTAGACTACTTCCTTCTTTTGCCTGGATTGCTAGAGTTAATATAATATGGAAGTGTTTGCAATTTTTTCTCTAGTTGTTTTTTAGTCATGGTTTAGTTATTTGCTTTTAACTTAGCTCACGGTTTCTTGGTGCCATTAAGCGAGCAATGTTTTTGAGGCCATCTTTTTTTTTTATTTTTTTTTAAAGGGGGTATCAAATATTTATTGAGGAACACTCACAAACAACAAGGTCTCCAGTCGCCACCCAAGACAGTGAGCGAGCCCATCCTCTCTCTTAAAAAGCCATCATGTGCAGACCACTACCATATGTCCGGTACCCCCAAAAGTTTTTGGCTGAATGAATTTCTATAGCACTTCCCCCTTTTGTCTAAATAAAAGGGTTTTTAATATCTAGTATAAAAATATATACAATAAGAACAAATACCATCTTAAAAGAAACAGCCATTGGTTATGAGCACCACTAAGAACCAGTAATAGTTTGATTCCAAAGCAAACATTAAAAATGTGTTTATAGTAGATTTTATGCCTTAAATCGGTGGTTCTCAACCTTCCTAATGCTTCGACCTTTTAATACAGTTCCTCATATTGTGGTGATCCCCAACTATAAATAATTTTTGTTGCTACTTCATAACTGTAATTTTGCTACTGTTATGAATCATAAATAATTTTGACGACAAAGGTTTGCCAAGGAGGTCTTGACCCACAGGTTGAGAACCACTGCATTAACTCTAAGATATATTTCAAAACAGTGGAAGGAGTGTTGTTCTGCATGAAGCATATCAAATTGTCTGCAGAGGAGAACACAATGATGGCCAGAAAGTTGTGTCCTGAAATTATCTTGGTGTCATTACTCCTCAGTGTGCTCTTTGCTGCTGATTTCTTTATCTTTCTTTTATTAGGAAGTGATCAGAAATTTTCTTCATTGCTGTCTGAACTTGATTTTCCTTTTTGTCTACTTTAGTTGAAATGGATAGTCTGTCTGAACTGTCCCAGCAAGGCACCAACCATGTCAACTTTGGCCAGCAGCCGGTCCCAGGGAACACAGCTGAGCAGCCACCATCTCCTGCACAGCTCTCCCATGGCAGCCAGCCCTCTGTCCGGACCCCTCTTCCGAACCTGCACCCTGGGCTTGTGTCAACACCTATCAGTCCTCAGCTGGTCAACCAGCAGCTGGTGATGGCCCAGCTGCTCAACCAGCAGTATGCCGTGAACAGACTCCTAGCCCAGCAGTCGTTAAACCAGCAGTACTTGAACCACCCTCCCCCTGTCAGTAGGTCCATGAATAAGCCTTTGGAGCAGCAGGTTTCAACCAACACGGAGGTCTCTTCAGAAATCTACCAGTGGGTGCGGGACGAGCTGAAACGAGCGGGAATCTCCCAGGCAGTGTTTGCACGCGTGGCTTTCAACAGAACTCAGGTCAGAGTTGTTCTGCCTCCTCCTCCTTCCTTCGCTTCCGTGCTCATGTTCTTCTCCTCTGCGTTCCCCTCTGTCACCACTGTGGTGGTGCCTGTTGCTGTGTCCCTTCCAGCGCACACACTGGCTTTGTCTGTGTTCTTGTCGTGGGTGGTAGCTGTTAGTGACAAAAGGTGAAGTGTCTAGCCTAGGTCTTTTTCCGTGTTTCTGTTCGTGCCAAACGTAAATATATTAATTAATGTGTTTTGTTGAAGTTCTTCAACCTTTTTTGATACTGTGCAGCTTAATAGTGGTTTAATTTAATTCTGCAGACATTTCTTAACTTGCCTTCTTCCGTGATTTGCTCCTGTTCTCCACACCTCCTTTGGTTTCCCCCATTTTTGTAGTAGAGTTATATGCTTTTTACAAAGTGTAGTCCGTCTGCTTTTCTTTCTGTCTCTCCTTCCTTCCTTTCTTTCTTTCTTTCTTTTCTTTTTTGTTTTGTTTTGAGACAAGGTTTCTCTGTGTATCCTAGAACTTGCTCTGTAGACCAGGCTGGCCTTGAATTCACAGAGATTCTCCTGCCTCTGCCTCCCTAGTGCTGGGATTAAAGGCATGGGCCTATCACCTCTGCTGCCCAGCCAAAGTGTGATATTTTTATGGCTCTTTGTGTATACATTGTGTGGCTTGACCACACTAAGATCGTCTCCTCCTGGTGCCCTTTGCCTATTGTCCAGAGTCTCACGTTAATTTACACAGACTTCACCTCACACCAGAGAAAGCAGGGGTTTTGTGTTTGTTTGTTTGTTGTGAGTCCAGAAAGTAAATATTTGAGTGCCATAAAATCTCTTATCACACTACAGATCACTAGGCATCTATAGTGGGGGGAATGGGTGTAGCCAGGTGGGATTTCACTACTATCTGTATAATAGACCTTGTGCTGGGTTGGTCTGTAAGCATTAGTTAAATATTCAATTTAGACTTCCCTTGAGGTCTACCAATGCCCCAGGTTACACCATTTACCTCCTGGGCAAATTCCTGTGAGGCACAATCTTCTCTGCAAGGATAGTCTCTTTAGTATGTGTAAGTTTTTCTTTGTTTTGTTTAGAGACTAATATAATGTATATGGTGTTTATTTTTAGCCAAGGCACTAAAATATGAAGAACATTTAGCTTTGAGGCAATAGTGTCTTTTCTTGTTTTTACATGCTTGTTTATTCCTCCCCCCTTTGCCTGACTCAAATTTGTTTATTACATGATCCTAGGAATAAAATTCTGGTACAAAAATAATTTAGTGTTATTCCTTGTTGGCAGAGTTGCTGAGCCTGGGAGGGTGCCAGCTGTGACTTGGGTTTGGCTGCCCTGGCTGGACCGAGGGTCAGACCTGGTGGGTCTCACAGAGCTTGTTCTCAGGCTCTCCACCTGCCTTTCTCTTCGCTCTTGTTCTGGTTTTAAAAGAGTGATTTTTACACTGGATTGTCTTAGGTTAAAACTTGGTATTTTCATGAAGTCCGTGTTTTTACAGCTTTAAAACCGTTCCTTATTAGCTAGCTAATTTAATATGACCGTTTAGTTCAGTTGGGGCCAATAATAAAAAAAATCAGTGAATCAAAGGCCACCCTCTAGAAATTCTGACTTATAAATACAATAATTACTCGTAATGCTTAGTCCTGGGCCAATGTTTGTTGAATTCAATTAAAGCCTTCAGACAAAGACCACACTGACACAGACACAGACTATAGATTTACCGATAAGCCCTTGAAAAAGTGAGCTAAAGCACAAGGCTGTGTGTTCTGTGAGTGTGAAGAATGAGGGAGGGCTCCGCACACTTCCTCACTGCGGCTGGGCGATGCCCACTGTTTGTCCTGGGTTCTCACACAGAGCCTTTTTGGTTATCTGTAGGTTTTATTACAGTAAGTGGTGAATTTCTCTTGTTCCATGAATTAGTGTCTGCAAAAAGGCGGTTCTCTGTGGTTCACATGGGTATCAGTGTGGTCGTTTTCTGAGCATCAAAACATGGCATACTTTCACCCAGGTACCACATTTTAAATGGGAAATTTAGAGAAAGAAAATCACTATCCCGAAATATGTGTTGATAAACAGCTTTAACTTTAACCCTTTATGTAGTAGTAATTGGTATTTCTCAGTGGGAGATACTGGGCCTCATTTAGGACTGCCTATTTATTCATTTATTTATTTAAATATAGGCTGTTTCGTGTGGATATTTAGATGTTCATTGAGAGCCAGCTTTTGCACACTAAAGCATGTATGTATTTTTTAGTGGTCATACTTAAAAATCACATACAAGCACCCACACGCAGCTGCATTTAGTTCAGTGATTATACATTCATATGAATGCATGTAGTGTGTTTATTTCAGAGTGTATGCATTTCAATAAAAGCAGGTGCAGAGTGAGAGTAGGGTGTGAGTACGGAGTACGAAAATACACATGCTGATGCATATGTAGCCCGGAGCTCTGCAGCCACGGCACACAGCTCGGGGTGCACTGATTTTAGTGAGCGCTTCCAGCCCAGGCTCAGGGGTTACCGTCAAAGTTGTGCATGAAAAGGCACAGTTCTGCTTGGGTAGAGGAGGTGCTGCGCCTTGTGCAGACCATGGTAAAGCACTGGTGTGATAGGTGGCATGGTTAGGAACGGAGAATTATTTCAATCATTGACAGCTCTGAGTAGCTTTAAGCCCTGGATTTCCTGTTTTAACTCATGAGAATCCCCTCATCATCTTTAAAGGGCTTCCCAAATTAAACGATAATCCTCTCAAGACTCTCAACATAGACGTTAAAAAAGTCTACCATTTCTGAAAATTTATGGTAAAATTTATAGAATTACTTGTTTTAGGGAATTTTCCCTTTCTGAATGATGGTCATGATTTACTCAGTACTGAAGAGAGTAGCTCTTAGCACATGCCATTCACTCACTGAGATCTGCTGATGTCTTTCTAATGGAGACCTGTGCCCGGAAGTGAATGCCGGTGCATCTGTACTTACACTTTCCAGTTCACCTTTCTGGGATACTGTCATCTAAAGGTTGTGATACAAGAAAATGTATTTCTTAAAAAACCCAGAGTTCAGCTCTGGTCCTCCTCCCTCCTGTCTTCGGCACATTTTATTTTCCAGTAAAATAAAGAATGAAGATGGATTATTCGAAACTGAAAGCAGTAATGGACCATCATATAATGTTTTATTGAATTTGAGTTCTGTGAATTATGTGGTGGAGAGAAATTTGCCTGCTTAAGTATAACAAAAATCACTACTGTGTTCCTATAATTCTTCAGTGTAATTTAAGAAAAGTCCACTGTCCATAGCACTATTGACTAAAAGGTAAAAAGGTACCATTACCTGACGTGACAGCTCTTGATGAGCCTACCAAGGGACAGAGATGAATGTGTCTACTTATAACTTGCTTGGCATGAGTCCATGAGCAGGTGGAGTTTGGAAATAGTCTTTCACCTGGACATGTGATCAGGAACTCCCCAAACAGGCAGGCAGCCTGGAGAATATTCTGTGTTTCTCTTTAGGAGAGAGGCTTCCTCAAATAATTTCTTTTTTCTTTCTGAGGGCTTTGAAGTTCCACAGTGCTGATACAATCTATTTTAATCGGTGATTATGTTCAAAGTGGAGACAAGCTGGAGGCCAGGCAGGCTTTTTGTTCAGATTGGCCGTCTCTTTTACTTATCTGCTGTTTTAGAGAATTCATAATGAGTTTTTGGAAGTGCTGATAATATTTATTGAAGGTTTTTTCTTTCTTTTACAATTACTAATGAATTTTACTTGTAATAACTTGTATAACTCTTGTTGGAATGTGAAAAAGAGAGGTTTAGGAATTTACCAGTAAATGAATTCTTTAATTGAAAAAAATCAGAGCTCTCACTTCACCACTAAGCAGTGACAATGCAGAATAATTGTATGTTTTTCTGTGTACGACACGCATCTAATCATTTGTGAGATGTGAAGTCCCAAGGTAGGACATCTTCTAACTTCCAGGAAAATTGATATTCATGACATGTTGGGAACTCCCTTTCATAACATACAAGTTTTTGAATTCTTCTTAGAAACAAGGTTACTGATGACTTTGCCCAGTCAAGGTCAGTGAGTTTATTCAGCACCTAGGGCACACAAAATGGCTGCACTTTAATTCAGAACCTCAGCCAATTCTGTGATGTTGCTGGCCTTCGTGTTCTGTTCCTTTACTATGATGGGTTATTGGTAGTGATATCTGTATTAGTCAGTCATGAGGAAATAATACAAGTGGGCTTGACCTTCCCTGGCATGGCTGCATATATTTGACCTTTATAAAACAGGAAAAGGAACTACATCCCTATTGAATTCATCACCGCTCAGCAGTCTGAAGAGGGCAAGAACTGCACTCTAGCGTCCGGCTCTAGCGGTTCTCATCTGCATCCAGATTATTCTACATTACTCTTAAGTTATTTTAAAATTAACACTAATCATACGGTTTCTGACAATATTTTCAGCAATTCCACCAGGGGGCACTCCCCTCATTGAAAGCTCTGGGCCAAAAAAAAAAAAAAGTTCTGAACGGGTGGACTGTCCACACTGACTGCTGTGCAGCTCTTTGAGCACTGTCGGGGATCGGCACAGTCCAGGAGGAGACTTGCATCCCCTGCAAGGGATGACTGAGTTTGAAAGGGGTTACTCAGAGGGAGCACTCACTCAGGTTTGCTTGGACTTCACACCAGGTTTTCTCCTTAGTGCTGTGCTCGCAGGACTTGAAAGAAGGGGCTTCTGCCTTCTGGTTTTTTTTTTTTTTTTTTAATCTCACAGTAGTTCTCTGCTGTGGGGCATCTTTAATAGAGATGGACGATGTTCCTTTGTTTTTGTTTTTTTTTGAGATATTTAGATATTTTATTTCAAGTACTCTGGTATAGGACAAACCTAAATATATACAAGGTATCTTTTGCCCTGATTGGTTTTTTAATACACGGAATAGTTAGTAGGCTCCTGCAGACTGGTGTTTTACAGAGCACTGGGCAATGACGTCTAAGGCTCAAGTGCCTTGCCTGGAAGGGCCCATGGCCTTGATTATGTAGTAAAGTTAGGCATAGTTCATTGTGACCTCTAGAATATACTCTCATGTCCTTTTCTTTATTATTTCTGTAGTGGATAGCCACGTAATTGTCTTCCTGTTTATCAACAACTTCAGCATAAGGCAGTGGGCTCCGGTGACAAAAGGTCCTGTTGCACCGGAGGAGTCTGTGAAGTTTTGCTTGCACTCAATGCTCCCGTCTGCTTATGCACCCCTATCCCATTGCTATATATTGCTCTACCAGCCGCATCTTTTGTTTGTTTCCTTTATTTATTTACTCGTGTTCTGAGACAGTGTCACTGTGAAGTCATGGCTGTCTCAGCCTTCCGGGCATGGGATTGCAGGCATGTCCCCATGTCTGGCTTCCAAGGTTCTGCTGCAGCTGTTTGTTTGTTTTCTAAGTATATAATATTTTGCAGAAGCAATGGCACAGACTTTGTGCCTGATTTGTGTGTTAATTTCTATAAGACACATCAGAAATAGTCTAATTAGTTGGCCCAGTTAACTAAGTTAAGTAAGCTGAATGGTGTAAATGGCTGGTTTCGATCTGAGTTCAGCTGACAGAGCACTGTTCTCAGTAGACACAGTTGCAGGTACTAGTTAGTATCATGGCCAAAAGGACAAGGGCCTCGATTCTTAGCTAACATTTCTTGTGAAAGCGCAGATAGAATGTCCAGATTTGGTTGCAATCGACCTGTTGAGAGATGCTTTATTTATGATTGACTCAATTTCCCAGAGCTTGTTGGAGGTTTCTTTCCCCCTTAAACATCAACTTATAAATCAAGTGATTTATTTGACAGGGACAGTGTTTTTATCCTATCTGTACCCACATGCTATATCAGGCAATGTGGTGCACACTGACTTGAGAAATTTGGAAGAAACCAGGTTTATACTTCCAAGAAACCATAACACTCCCCAATATTAAAACTTTGACGAGTCTGTTTTGCCTTCTCTCAAATGTACATGTTTGACCATTTCCACGGGTTGGGTTGAGGCGGGTTGTCAGGTAATACTGAGGCCTTGATTGCCACTACCGCGAGCTCCTGATGTGTCTAGGTAAAGGAAGCAGGGCATCTTGGTGTCCCACACGTTAACTATGGACTTGAAATCGAAGACACAGCTATTGAGTCTTATGTGCTCAGAGCAGCCTTTGTTTGTACGTCTTCTTCACACTGTTCAAATGCATTAGGAGGAAATTAACCATTTAATAAGCAAATTCTCCCAGAGGAAAAAGAAAAGTATTTTACCACTTCATTGCTGAGGGAAGAGAAACATCTGAAGAGAAGTTTCTAGGAGTTTCTAAGTTTTTGCTGTTACTAATAGTGATCTTTCGTTTCAAGTGATTTGATGATATTCTTTTCAATATGTGAAATTCTGGAACATAATTTTACAGTGTAGAAGAATAGTTATGTATTTCAGGATTGCTTTGTGTTAATTTTTCAACCTGTTACCTACTGGTATGGAACAGAACGTTCTCAAATCACTTGTGGTTGTTCGTTTCCTCTGAACAGCACATTCACATGGCTAGCTGTGGCACTTCATTATTTCAACATTAAGGAATAACAGAATATTGCCTGTATAAACAAAAGCCTTAGTGGCCTTGAGTGATGTTTGCAGCTCCTTTTCTGGTACCTTCTTCACACATTCGGCTCGCTCCTCTAGAAAAGGTGTTGTGTCTGCTCTTGTTCGCCCTGTGCCTTTGTCTCAGCTTGAGAACTGCCCAGTTCAATGCTGTTGTGCTGTGGAGAGTTCACTTATTCTTAACTCCCCCCCCCCCCCCATCTCTCTGGGAAAAATTTCACGGCAAGTTAAGCTACTCAAAGGAAGGAGACCAATTAGGCCATTTCAGTTTCTGCTCTATGTAAAGCAGATGCTTAATAAAATCAAGGATACAATTGAGGCTCTCTTCTCCACCACTTCAGCTGCAGCTAATATATTCCTATAGAGACTCGAGGCCTCTGACCGCTCACTTTCTAAAGGGCATGAAGAAGGCAGGGCATAGGACACTCCCCATACCCTGGCCAGAGCAAGGAGCAAGCTCACTCTGTGTCTTTCCTCCCCTGCAGGGACTGCTTTCTGAAATCCTCCGAAAGGAAGAGGACCCCAAGACTGCATCCCAGTCTCTGCTGGTAAACCTTCGGGCTATGCAGAACTTCTTACAGTTGCCAGAAGCCGAAAGAGACCGGATATACCAGGATGAGAGGGAACGGAGCCTGAACGCCGCCTCGGCCATGGGTCCTGCCCCACTGCTGAGCACTCCGCCCAGCCGTCCCCCCCAGGTGCCCCTTCTCTTCCTTGTCGTTCTTTCTCGTGTCCTGAAAAATGTTAATGATTACTCGGCAAGAAATTAGATAAATAGATACAGATTTTTAAAAGTTCCATAGACTTTCTTGAGAATTTCATCCCAAATCACTCATTTTAATGGAAAACAGTTCACTCCTAATTAGGGGGGGGGAAACTGCCTTGTGTTGTTCCAAGTCTTTGGGTTCTTGAGGGTTGAAGAAGTGACGTAGCCATCTCTACTATTGTTGTTACAGATGTATTCTGTTCACTTCAGAACAGAAATAATAAGACCTGGTTACTATCACTAGTTTGAGGACTGCCATTTGAATAGTAAATAAAAAATAAATAATTTCATTTATATTTATGCTTTCCAATATGGACTGCAGCTGGTACCAATTACATATCTCATTTGTAATCTTTCATAATTAAGTTTAATACAATTCTTGAAGGCAGCTTTAAATGGGACTGATAAAGATTTCTCTCTGAATTCCCAGAAATGGGCACATTTTCATTTTCTTCAAAATGTTCCATATTTTAGGAAGGAAAAATGAGTCTACCTTCTAGCTAACTTTATTGTGCATTCCTGTTTGAAAGTCAGTCCTAACTCAACTCCCTGGAACTACTGCAAGAAGTCAAGACAGGAGCTTTCAGTGTAAACCAATAGATGACAGTTCAAATCCACAAGCAGATGTATTTCCTTCCATGTTTAGTTTGTGACAGGTATAAACTTCCAAAATTGTTTAAAAAGTTGAGTATGGGCCGGGCGGTGGTGGCGCACGCCTTTAATCCCAGCACTCGGGAGGCAGAGGCAGGCGGATCTCTGTGAGTTCGAGACCAGCCTGGTCTACAAGAGCTAGTTCCAGGAAAGGCTCCAAAGCCACAGAGAAACCCTGTCTCGAAAAACCAAAAAATTAAAAAAAAATAAAAAAAAATAAAAAGTTGAGTATGGAACACAAATTCAGTTTTGATGGAGTATGATGTCATAATCAGATTTTGATGATTTCTTCTCATCAATAGTCAACAAAAAGTCCATGTGTTTCAGAGTACAGAAGTTGAATGTAGAGTGTAGGAAAAGCCCATCTAGGGGTGAGAAAGTAGTGAAGCTGTCCCGGAATCCTCCAGCTGAGGACTCCAGCTACTTATTGAGGTCCTTGAACTGGTGACAGAATAGTCTAAAGAAATTATTTCTAAAATCCATTTCTAATGGAACTCAGTCTGTCTTGACATCTGTAGGAGCAGACTGTGGTAAGATACGATGTTTTGCGAGAGAAGGGTCACCATGTTCATATGTAAGCTGCCTGCCTACTCATAGCTACTGAGTTTGACTGGTAATACTTCCTAAAATACAGATTTAGAAACTCTGTAAATATGTATATGACTTGTGTAGGTTATTATTATATAAAGAAGTTTAAAACTCTCAGTGTTCATACCCTTCCTTTTTTATAGTAACCATCCAGGTGGTGATTGTCCACCTGGGGGCACTAGCCTGGTTTTACCCTTTCTTTTTCTGAGGTGTTTAGAATACTTTTTAAAATAACAGTATGACTTAGCACTGGCCATCTTCTCTTTTCAGTACGCCCAGTTATTTAATTTAGTGCTGAAACAGCTTTCATGTTGTAGAATTTGGGAAATTTTATTTTCTAAATATGATCACACTAATCCTTATTCATTGAGTGTTTTCTGAGCCAAGGTTGTATTAGTTCTTTAGTGGTATTTCTTTTCGTACACCCTTAAGATACTATTCAGTACTTTCCTGTGTGTGTATTTATAGAGGCACCATATGCGGTGCTGTGTGGGGATAGAAAACACACGTCATTTACTTTATCCTGAGTCTCAGGTTTCCTGGTTGAGACACCCTTCACTGTATTGTTTGTTTTCAAAGGGGGTTAAGACTAACCAAGCTGGTAGTCAGAGTGTTGACCAGTGGTGAACATATGAAGTGGGTAGGCACTCCTTGGTGAGATGCTTCCAGTTTCTTCCTAGTGTGCTTTTATTGACTGTCTAACCAAATCCAGAGATGAGTGTCTGTGTGTCTTACTTTTTCCTCAGTGTTAGAACAGTGCTCACTGTCAGTTGGTTACATTTTACCCTTTAAGCAACACATTAAATTTTAAAAAATGACCTGTTTATCTGACTGCAAAGTGAGTAGATTGAGGAAAGCATGCTGTCAAGCTTGGAAAGTTAGAACTGTTTGGAATCAACAGTTGAAGTTAAAATGGAACCTCCAAGAGAGGTTCATATGCTTTCCCCAGGGAACTAGACTGGCAAGAAAAGGTGGAAAACACCACAGAGAAGCCTGCAAAACTGTCTTCAGTCTCGTATATCACCAGAGAAAACTTTGTGAAACACCATTCATTTTATTTTTTGTAAAATAGAGATTTGAAACTTCTTTTTAGACAAATCTTGGGTTTGGGCTTGAACTCTGATTCTTTCTGAAAACAAAACAAAAACAAATAAACAAAAGAGCAAAAAACTCCCATCAGAGGTGAAAAGAAGAGAGGTCTTTGGTGACTAATGGGACACCCAAGACAGTTCTAAACCTGGGAGACTGGAATCTGTTCAGCTCCTATAGTATGTAGCTCACATTTTAGGAAGATTTTATAGGGTTCCTGGGGGGCATCCTAGACTGAGGAGCTAAACTATTGAATAGGGACTTAGATTTGAAGTCATCTTTTACATGGAACTTCCTTGGATAGTCTCCAGAAAGATGTCCTACACATTCCTTACAGCCCAGCCACAAGAAGCAACAAAGCTTAAGACCGACCTAGCCATGGTGCTATGCCCCTAGTGCAGACCTCTCTTGGGTAATCCAGTAGAGGCAACCATGAATGGCCATTGTCCTCTACTGGGTCCGGGCCAAACCTGTCAGAAGCAGATTTTCATAAGTTCCATGCTGTAACTGAAAAAGGAAAAATACCTTTATAGTTGATAATGGTTCACAGTGTTCTGAGCACCTTCACGTGCATTACTTCATTGGATCCTAATATTAACCTTTTGCTAGGAGAAGAACTAAAACACTGAGTGAAAGATCTTAATTAATGTTTCCAAATCCTAATTAAATTTGCTGCATTTTCCTTTATCAAAATCCAGTTTTTAGAGAAAGGATGGAAGTCAGAGAAAATGGGAATCTGTGTTGTTAGATTAGAAGGAATGTTCAAGATTATTATCTGGTTAAATGTTTGACAAGTGATCTATTTGGAATGACTTGGCACAATTTTACTTATGGTCTTTTGAAGAAAATTCACTTTTAAAACTTCTATAATACCGGGCAGTGGTGGTGCACGCCTTTAATCCCAGCACTTGGCAGGTAAAGGCAGGCGGATCTCTGAGTTTGAGGCCAGCCTGGTCTAGAAGAACTAATTCCAGGACAGGGACCAAAAGAGCTATGGAGAAACCCTGTCTCGAAAAATCAAAAAAAAAAATTCATAATAAGAAAATACATCTTAGTCTATCTTATAGATTTGTTTTCTGGCTGTGTTGTACAAAGTTGCCTAGTGATTTTAATAGAGGGGTTTTTATAAATAGATTTTAATGATTATTTCCTGGAGATGATTTGTCCTGCAGGACAGATAAGCCTAAACTAAGCCCTCTACCTTCGTTGTCGTCTTGTTCTATTTGTGTGTTTTTAATGCATGTTGACTTCTAGAGTTACTTTTCCAGTTTTAACTTCTATAAGAACTGTTTGACAAGTTGTGATTTTTGAGTGACTTATATAGAGTTTGTATCTCTTCCTGAGATTCTTTCGCTTCTTTCCAAGTGAGGTGTGATGTTTCTCAGAAATGTATTAGAAAATGTACCAAGTCCATATAAGGATTATATAATTATGCCTGTATTGTTCTGTCTTTTCACAACAAATCTTGGCTTCGAGTCCAGTTTTAGGCATGGACTCAGTACATGAGAAGAACGGTTACTTGTGGATTCCTGAGAAAACACTAACGTTCTTGGGGACACTGCCCCATTTAATGGTCATCTTGTAAGGGTAAGACGTTTTCAGGTCTAGATCTGGAAAGTAATATTGTTCTTACGAAAAAAAAGACAAGTCTAAAATGTTCAAACCATGACACTGAAGGCAGTGTTATATAGGACTGTTGTCTGTCACCCATAAATATGCCCACAAAATTATTTAGAAGAGAAATAGGCATACCTTGGAAAATAAATTTGGATTAGATGTTTTATATTTATTATAAAACCTTTAGCTTCTAAACCTTACAGCTAAGTGACTTGGACTCAGCAAAGGGCTTCTAAATGCAGGCCCAGCATGTCTTGATCTCTGAGAAGTTTTCTGAGTAACAAGACCCTACACAAGAACATGTGCCGCAAAACTCCCTGGTCTTTGAGACTAAGTCCAGATTTCAGCAAACTCAAGTTCAGAGCTTAGCCTGGAGCAGGAGGCAAGTTACTTAACCTCTGTATAATAATGTTTCCAGTTTTAAGGTAGATCATCACACCTGCTGTGGTTCAGAGGGTATACATTCACACATAAACCAGCCAACAAATATCAGTCTCTGTTTTCATAAAACAGCATAACACTTTAACTTTGTGTAGTAAGAGTCCTATCTTACAGGAGCATCTCCGGCATCAGGGACTGCTCACTCACCCACCCAGACCAAAAGGTGTTAGTCTTATAAACCCAAGAGTATAATGCATTCAGCAATCAGTGAAGAAGCGAATCAGAATTTTCATGTCAAATGTGTGCTCTGCTGCACAACTTTAGTGAAAGGAAGAGCAGCCCCAGTGCAGCCGCCTGTCCCCTACGTGGGAGGGTGGATGAAGCTCCCATTCCTGACTACTCCCTGGCGCCACTGTAATAACGGAGTAGTGCGCCCTACCTTGATAAAAGCTATTCCAATTGCAACTGCATTTATTTCACCTCCTGTGCTATTTGTGGGGAAGAGTGAAGAGTAGTTTGTTTTGCCTGGGATGAACTACTTTATGAATTTTAATGGATGATATAATATTAAAAGCTAAACCAGGATTAAAGAAGATTTTTTTTTTTGTACTAAGCAAAAATAGTACTTAGTAGAGTGGAGTAGAAAAGATTTTTGTTTCCATTTTTTACCTGGGGAAAAATTCAGCTTTCATATTTTGAAAAGCTGCCCAAGTCAGTTCCCCTTAAGCAATAACTTGTGTTTAGGAAAAAATGTGGTTCTAGAATTCGAATGGCTTATCTCTGATAAGATGCCTATCTGGGCCAGCACGAAGAGCTTTGTTAAATACCTTTTGACTGAGTAATGCAGCCAGGCACTAACCATGTTTTTAGACATTTTCTCTATTCTCTTCTCTTAGTGCTGCTTTTCTCCTCCCACCTCACCCCAACGAGGAAATGAGTATTTGGTTGTTTTTTGTTATTTAGGATTCTTGCTTCTTGGTTCAAGTTGTAATTGCTTTATAGAAAACCTAACGAAAATTTTAGAAACAGAATCACAGAAACTTAAACTCTCCGATTTAACTTTTACTAAAGAGTGAAAATTGAAAGAACAGATGAAATCCCAAGTTTTTAAACCAGAGCTGTTCCAGTTGCTACTCACTTTGCTACCATAGAACTGTTTCTTCTTCTAGTGTGATGGACTTTGGGGCCTCCATTTCCATGGCATTCCATTTTCAAAGCAATTGAAATGGCTTTTTCTTTCATTTAAGCAGTGAGAAAAATAGGTATTAGAAGGGACCCCATGGGGTGATCAGATCTATCCCTCTGCCACAGAGCTAGACCACCCCAGACCAAAGTTTCAAATCTCAGCAAAGCAACTTTGTAGGCCATTTATCGTAATCTGTTGACTCTTCTGCCCCTAAAATGATGTTTAGCAGATTAGGGCTTCACAGCCCTGTGGGTTCCTAGTGACGTCCAATCTTAATGTACCCCTTGCTGGTATAGACCCAAAGCTGGAAAAGGAGCCCCAGAGATCTCTTGGAGAACAGGTAATGGTTTTAGCCACTCTGAGCATTGTATAGCCCCATAGGATGCTTTCCTTCTGCTGCTGGGGCTGGGACGGAGGAGGGGGTCTTACTGTGTACCTGTCTCCAGGAGGTAATTCAGGTGAAAACAACTGTGTCCAACTAGAAGTTCCAAGGACTGGAAAAGTACATTTCACGGGCCTGTATTTTCTTTAATCTCCTTCTGGAGTGGCCTCTGCTCACTTTCATGCCCTGTGTTTTTGGGAAGAGAGTTTAGTTAATATGGAACACCACAGTTTGATGTGTATTATCTGTGCATTTATCCTAACATGCTTTATTTTTCTGTTATTCAAAATTTATTTGCAAGACGATAACTCTCTAGAGAAACCGTGGTCTCCATGGAGGGCCCTAGTAGTGAACTCCTGATTTTCCTTGGCTGAGAAGCGTGGCCCTGCCTCCAAACTAAGTTTTCAATCACATTTTTGCCAGTTTCCTAGGAAAAATAATTCCCATTGTTGTTCATAAGAAGATGTCCAAGTCTGTTTCATATAACTGCATGATAAAAATTGAAATTGGAATTAAAAATGATAGTATCAGCTTTTAAGGCAGATGTTTGGTTTCCAAACCCCAGTCTTTGTTGGTGGAGAACATTTTTCGAGTTATTCCTGCTTACCTCCATTATCAAAGGCTTGGTACAAATTTTTGAGTAATTATATATTTTGAATAGACTTGTAATGATATATTTTGTATAACTTACAGAAACGTAACTACATTTTAAGAAACATTTTCTTCTTGTCTAGTTCTGTAAGTCCAAAGGAATTTGTTCCGCAGCACAATGCCAGGAAAAGGTGAAATAACCAGACAGGGCAGCTTGGACATCACGTGCGGAATTCAAGCAGCCTTTATAATAATTGAGCCAAAGGCTTTCTACCTGTTCATGGACGGGCAGAATATTTAAATATGCAGCTCTGGAAATGGCTTTATTATGGAAGATTTTAAAATGAAACATAAGAGAGAAAGGCATTTTTAAAAAGTCTGAAATGAGAAAGGCCATGGTATCAACAGCTATCGGGGAGGTAACTATCCATTAGCCCTGGGCACCCAGCGAGGACAACAGTGTGCATTATGGTTCTGATTGTGGATTGCCATTGTTAGGGGCTGAAATGGGAGGCAATTGGGAGAGAGTTCAGTGTTTTCAAGTCCTTGAAGCTCCTCTCTTTTCCAGAAAACTTACTTTATGGCATTATTTTTCCTATCATCTGGCAGTTGCCATCACATTACAGATGCAATCACCTGTGACGTCCTTAACTTAAGCAATCTGATCTCAGGGCAATAACTAATGTTGAATGACCGCACTGTTGATCACCTTGATCATAAAAGGAGTCACGGTGCCCAGCTTGGATGCCCAGCCTGAATAGCTTTGAATCAATTTGGCTAATGAAAAATAACAGCCATGTTCAAAATGTTTTGTAGGTGAAAACAGCCACTCTTGCCACTGAGAGGAATGGGAAACCAGAGAACAATACTATGAACATCAATGCCTCCATTTATGACGAGATTCAGCAGGAAATGAAGCGTGCTAAAGTGTCCCAAGCACTCTTTGCAAAGGTTGCTGCCACAAAAAGCCAGGTCAGTACCACTATCAGGCATGAGTGTTGATCTGCCATGCCTGTGGCACAGTCTACGAAAGACGTGTCTGTATTCAGTGTGGATTGGCAGGACCAGGAGGTTACGACCTCCAGGACTGTGTAGAGAACTCTGTTGAGCAGCAGTGTTGGGATGGCAGTGGTTGGCCCCCAGCAGCTGCTCCTAGACCAAGGGTTTCTCAGGGGGGCTCTGAGGTGGTTAATAGTTGTGCAGAAGTGGACTCTTGGGGGTACAGCTTACTAGGCTGCTTCATAAGAGAACATGTACATTATTGTTGTCTCATTACTCCTCAGACGCCCTTCAGTTTTAGTTTAAAAGAATCATACAGCTTCCTTTGCCGCTAGTCTACCTACCGTGGTGCAGGAGCTTTTAAAACAACCACATACGTTCGAGCATATTAGTGATTTCCGTTTTTCTGTAGTTGTACAGAAGACAGATTGAACTACGCTACACTCAGGAAACTTGGCCAACTCTGATGACTTCATAGAGTTAAACTGGAAGTCCCAGACCTCTTCAAAGCAAATTTAAAAGCAATAGCTAGATCATAGAGCCCATTACCAGATCTCTTGTTTAAATCAGACTCTGCTATGTTGGTAACTGTTTACTGGAGTCCCCTTTAGAATAGACTCACAGTTGTCTGTTAGCTGTTTACCAGAGCCATGAATAGGTTTAGAAGCTTAGAATACAAGATTCTCTTCCCTTTCACAAATGGACTTGGTAACACTGTGGTAGGACACAAGGGCTTGGGCAAGATTTTAGTAACTTGAAGTATTACACAGTTCTCTTTTCATAATCGTTAGATGACCTTTTATTTAACATCCTGATGATGTTGGTTTGTGATAGAATACACAATTCTGGGAGTACTCACAACATGAAATTTATAGCATAATACTTTTTGGCTTTTCCTAAACTTTTACTCGGTCTGCATTAATAATGGTTCTTAATTGGGGTTTTACTTCACAAACATATTGCTCCTGTTTAAGTTGTAGGACAGATGAATACTTAAGGGATATCTTGGAAATGTTATATAAAAATGATTAAACTCAAGCTGTGGACTGTAAAAAATTATAGCTTTATAGGCCGCATGCCTGCCTTACCCTTCAATCACTGTCAAAGTGATAATTTCTACAATAATATGTTTCTTTTATTGTGAGATTCTAAACATCAAGTACTGTTTAAACATTAACGGAGTTGTTTATGTTAGCGCTGTACCCAGCGTGTCACGCATCAGGCCACCGTCATCTCTCGTGGAATGTAAAATTCTGTCATGAATCATGGCTTGCATATCGGAAATTACTGTAATTTTGATTGGAAATTACAGGGCTCTTGAAATGTTTCTAATTATGATAGAATGTTAGAACTGCTTCAAACCTGTGTGTTCCTTCAGATGTCTTCATTTACATGCCAAGACTACACTTTACAGAGAAATGTCCTGTCTCACTCCACCCCACCCACCCGGCACATTCTTGTTTTGACTACTTAGTCTAATTATGATGAGGATCTCTTATTTAAATACATATTATTTTGCCTTTCTTTCTGATCCTGCATCCCCCACCCCACCCTGGCCTGTCCAATTACATAATAAACTGTCTTCCTACAAAGGCCAAGCACTTTCTCCAAATCTCCAAAATGGAGGAGCTAGATGCACATTATTATAGTCAGGTCAGCCATGAAACAAAACAAACAAAAATGAATATTAAAGCTTTTCCATGCGTCTCATGTTGCTTGTCACCTGTCATTTACCTGCATGTGCTACCTCCACCCCTCCCAGTTGCCTTCTGCTAAGTGCCTGCCACCTGTGGCTTGACTCTTGCTTAGGTGACAGTAGAGATTCCCCACGTTTGGGCTGAGTTACTGATTTAGGAACCACTTGGGCTCCTTGAGTCTGTTTGGTGTGCTGTGGTGTTTGTAAGCGTCTTAATCATCGTTGCCTCAAGTGTATACTTCCGCAATGGCGGTGAACAGCTTCTCAGTGTCTGCCGTCTCACAGTGTCTCAAGAATACCCCAGACTTCCACTCTTCCTATTAGTGGCTGAAGAAACTTCAGGGAGCCAGGTAGAGGCTGCAGCCAAGCGACCATGTGACTCTCTTCTCTTGAACAGCTATTCTGGTCACTAATGTCTTCTACTTCCGACAACATTTTGTAATTTTTCTTGGTTACTCAGTTTAGATGTTACCCTGCCCTCTTTGTGAAGACACATGCAAAATGCAAGGGCTCCTTAGGAATGAAGGTCCGGAGACTGACTGTGTCATAACAGGACATCTGGCCAATAAGGGCGGCTGCTGAGTTTATTTAGGCTTTGTTCTTTTGCTCTCAAAGGAAACAGAAAAGCTAATGCAAAGTCTTCAACACTGACCTTTACATGGTGAATTTTGTAACTTCTGAGATAATTGTTTACTTCTCAGACTAGTGATCAGGGCTCTTCAGAAGGAAATACTGTTCCTCCGGGTGGGGTGTGTATAAAATGCAATGTGTGCATATAAGCCTTTACGTTACAGATGCACAAAGGGATGGTATTTCTAATGTGCTCAGTAAGACATTCAGCCCTTCCCATGCAGAAGAGTGACTTATCTATCCTATATTTATGTATTTGGAGTACCTTCCATTGTGAAAGGAGAACATGCTCTCCAGTGCTGAGTGCACAGAGCGATTTGTCTACGAGGAGCCTCCCTGTGTTGATTCTGCCTTTTGACCAGGACTAAATCAGCTCATTTCTTTGATGAGTAATAGAAATGCAATTGTTTTAACCCGAAAAAAGATGTCTAAATGAAATATGCAGGTGAGCACTGAAGGTTAGAAAAGCTGCTACTGCCTACTCAAAAGATGATGTTCCTGAACCTGATGCAAATGGCTACAGGAACGCACTTTTTCTTTTCGGGATGTTCAGATAAGCAGCAGTTTTTCCAGGTGATTCAAATTGGAATTTTATCAAACATTTACTCTGATAACCCTCAAATTATTATGGAAGCAGGATTTGCTAATTTTACTGTTTAAAAAAAAATAGCTGATTTGGATAATAACCATTACCATGTCAAGGCTCGGCTGCTGCTCGTTGGCTTCGGTGTTTTCATGTGGGAGATGGAAGTGGAGTTTCTCCTTAATAGTGGCAGATGTTAGACTCTAATTTTATTCCACAGAAACCCCAGGAGAGCTCTGAGACTTCAGGTGTGTGTCCAGCGAGGGGACATAACAGCGCCAAAGGCCTTGCCTTGTCCATGTAATTTTTACATTGATTTTGTGTTTGTGGAGTGGAGCCTGCAGACCCAGCTGCATGGGCAGAGTCAGGGGTTTCTGCTGTCTCCATCCTCACCAGGAAATGGTTCCTCCTGCTTGCTTCACAGCTCAGGGTATTCCTAGGTGCGGCAGGGAGCTATGCAGTTACATCAGACTGGGCACGCTTGCAGCGTGATCTTCTTCAAACTCCACAGGGAGAGGACTGGTCACCGTGGTTTGAGCTGTATTAATAAGTTGAATTTATTTTTATTTTTTAAATACACAAAAAGAGGATTTTAACTTAAAAATAGTATGACTTGTAGAATGGACCAGATAATTTAAAGACATTTTTGTTTCTTCTTCTAACAATTTCAGACACTTTTGTCTGTGAAATGTAAGCCTGTAGTATGAATGAGAGGGACTTGGGTCTTCCGTAGTCCTTGGGTTTAAAAAGCATCACTCTGACTTGTAGTTGGGATGTCTAATACAATCAAACTGCCACAAATCAGGAGGGCTAGAACTAGGGCTAAAAATGTAGTGTGTAAAAGAATTTATAGTAGCAGAGCTGGAAATAAACCAGGGAAGCTGTTACACTGTATCCTATCATATTAGGGAAGGCACCTTCAGTGTTGTTCAGGCGGAGCTGCTCTTGGTGGAGGCTGGGTGTTAATTCATTCTTTGAGAATGTTCCCGTCACAGACTTTGCCGTGGCACGATTTTACCTGTGCAGATTCTTATTTAAGGCACTCGGGGCCCCACAAGCATGCGAGCCACAGTTTCTCTTATTTCTGGGGCCACATCTCTCAGGAGCAGTCGGTGAGATCCCTGTGCTGTGTCGTCCGAGCCCATCTCTTAGATGTGCAGAGGGTCCTTGGTGGGAGCCATTTCTTTCCAGCTGGGTAGAGCCACACCCTGGTCATGGGCAGCTCAGGTTTCTTGGGGTCTCCTTGTCTGAAGGAGGAAGGGCAAGAGAAGGATTAATGAGAACCAAGGAGGAAGAGGCACAGGGCATACCTAACCCTGCAGCTCCCATCTCACTCCTATTAGGTCAAGTTTAGTATGTGCTTGACAAAGCCCCTGTCCTAGATTCTTGACTGGAAAGGAGGGGTTGGTTCCTTGGTCTCCTCTTGAGAGTGTTGTTGGCAACAACTGCTGGAAATGTCATGGGTGTCAGTACTGAGATTACATTTGCTATACTTTTCCAGAACACTGCCGGTTCTAGTTGAATACTAAACCAGCCTATTGGAATCAATGCTTTACGTACCTACCACCCTGGTCTGCATGGCAGTCCATCACATATGCCAGGCAATGTAAAAACAGGACTAGTTAAATTTGTGGATCTGAATAAAGTTAGATTTCTGTGCTCTGAAACAAGCACATGCTTTGCTAAGCATAAGGCTTGTTCTTCCAGGTCCAGCATTATTAAGAAAAGTGTGTGCTTGCCCATTTTCTGGCTAAAACATTATATAAAGGGATATCTGACCACTTAAGTACTGTTCCTGCAGAAGTCAAGCAAAAGACCTTTGGCTCTCTTGTTAGTATTTTCAAATGATTTAAAAATCTCACTTTTTATCTTCTGAAGTTGATTGACTGAAAGTCATAAATACATTAATTTTTTTTGCAACCAGCATAGTAGGTTTAATGGTTACAGATACAGTCACAAGTCATTAAGCGCAGTTCCCCCACTTTTAGAAGCTTTGGGTATAATTCAGAGAAAAGGACTTCTGTGAGTACTGGGCCAGCTCTGTAAAGAGGGTCTTTGAGAGGA